CATCACATAGGCCGAAGAGCTGCTGCTGGGGTCCCCGAGATGGCGGAGTGGGATGATGGTAAGCCAGCTCTCCATGGGAGGTGGAGGTGGGGGGGCGGGGGGCCCAGAACACAAGCTTCTGGTTTGTTTTCCCTGGTGTAAACACGCCGGCCGGGGCGGACTGGGAGACTGCAGCGGTTTCTGGCTAGGAACTGGCCTGACACCCACAGCCCGAAGGTGTCACCGGAACGCGGGCTCCAGTGTCCATTGTGAGCCTCACCGTTCACACTGCCCCACCGGCTCTCCAAAGGCTCGCCTATGAGGGCAGCCCCCCGAGGAGCCAGAACAGGGTTTGGCGTGTCCCCGAATAGCAGCTGAATTCTAGGCAGAATCTGCCAGCTTGCAGAGTTGCCTTTTTCCTTCCCGGATCGTGTTCCAGCTAGAGGGGACACATGAAGCCTCTTCTGGCACTCCTGAGCTGAAGTTCAAGCTCACTCTCCCCCATCCTTTGTCCTTGAATGCCCTTGCCTGGCGCAGCACCTTAGCACACACTCGGAAACTGGTGTTTCTAAGAAGGGCCTTTGCAAAGATGAATGTGCATCAGGGGGAGAGAGCGGCTCACGTGGGTTTCCCCTCCGCCCCGACGCGCGCGTTTCTTCCTTCCCACAAGGTGGATGCCCGCAACATTGACGGCAGCACGCCCCTGTGTGATGCCTGTGCCTCAGGCAGCATCGAGTGCGTGAAGCTCCTGCTGTCCTACGGGGCCAAGGTCAACCCACCCCTGTACACGGCATCCCCGCTGCACGAGGCCTGCATGAGCGGTGAGTCCGTGCAAGCAAGCAGTGTAGGTGGGAAGCCATCGGCTGGCTAAGGAGCGCTCCCAGTCTGCTTCTGGCTCATGGTTGCCAGGCCATGAGAGCCTCAGCTTTTCCTCCTGAAGGTGGTTTTCACCCAGGAGTAGGGGCCGTGGTTTCTGGGTCAGGATTCTCTTGTTAGTGGTGTCCTCCAGGGCCTTTCAGATGTCAACGCTGAAGTCCCCCCACCCTGCCCTGGCTCTCAGTCTTCCCGGCCTTTTGCCTTGTGGCTCCCTGCTCTGGTTGGGAGAGGAGGCCCAACATATGCCCGGAGGACAGGTGGGATTTCAGTTGCCCTGCAAGGATGGGTAGTCTTCAGATGGTGGGAGGGTAAGAGGAAGGCCACTCCGTGCACAGAGAAAGTGACTCGTCCGGGCTTATTGGACCCAAAGTTCCCAGTGGAGGGGCAACAGAGAAGACTGGAAATTTAGGGCAAGACCGGCAGGTGGGAAATCATTAAATGACAGACTAAGGGGCTTGGATTCTACTCTTTTGAGCAGAGGTTGCAAGCTTCTGGCTGATGTTTTGATTGGCTGGCACCATGCTGGTCTTTGCTGCCTGGTGTGCGGGTGGGTGCATGCTCCCCCAGGGCTCCTCTCGGAGCCACTGTTCTCTGCTGCCTCTCACCCCCCTTCCCAGGGAGGTCATCTTTTGTCACCCGGATCTGGTGCTGAGACCACACCACTTCCATCCATGTCAGACGAACACTGTACACTTCCAAGGACACTTTCTGAAACCCAAGACACTATGTATGATCATGTAGTTGGTCCCGATACTCCTCAGAAATCCTTGGGGGATCCCCATGGCCAGAGGGTGGAGGCCAGAGTGTTTGGCATGGCCTGTAAAGGGTTGGTGGCCTGCCCTTGCTCAGGAGCTCCCCGGGCCCTCTCCCACCACTGCCCCACACAAACCCGCTCGTCAGTCCTGCCTGTAGCTGCCCAGTGCCCGTGCCATTCCACACCTGCGTCTCTCTGCGTATATTCTTCCCGGCCTGCAGAATGGGGGACTGGACAGGAGCAATCTCCTGTTTAGATGTTACATACTCCACCCTGTTATATGCTTTCCTCTGGTGCTCTCTCTGGGCTGGTAAGTGTCTGGAATTTTCTCTGGTCATTTGTCCTTCCACATGGAGGGCAGTAGGGACACCTTTATAAATTTGTGTCCTGCTGTTAGGCAAATTGGAGGCAGGGGGAAGAGCTTTTCTTCTATCTGCTTAATTGCCTTAAAATCAAAATAGTCCTTATGCTAAGGTAGACTATTTTGGGGTGGCATAGTCTGCAGCTCTGCAGTAGAGGAGTGGAGGGGTTGGGGGTATCCTGATGCGGAGAGATCACTGGGGCCATGGCAGTGATCTAAGCACAAAGCCCTTTGAGCCCAAGCGGGATGGATTCATTTAGAAGGCTTTGGGGAAGGATCAGCAGGATTTAGTATGAGGAAGAGCAGAGCACAGGGTCAAAGCCAACTCAGGGGTGGTGCCGATGACGCAGACGGATTGGCCAGGCACAGGGGCCCCCCAGGAGCGGAGGGGGCCGCTGGCCAAGACATCCCCAAGAGCATGGCCAGCAGAGGGCTGGAGGTGGAAACTTGGTAGCTACCTCGATGAAACATGATTGAGTGAGGAGAGAGGGTGCAGCCTGGGACAGAATTAAACTGCACTCAAACCGAGTTGGAGATGGCAGTGAAGAAGCAGGAAAAGCACCTGCCAGGGAGAAGGGCAGGGGACCTCCGAGGCAAGGAGGCTTAGGGACGTTCACCCAGGAGCCTTGGACTCGGGCTGCCAGCATCTTCAGGAGACCACCTGCAGGCTCGGCACTCCCAACACAGCTTGGGAGACAGCCCAGAGGTGGGGGGCACCCTCCTTCCCACTGAGGAGCAGAGTCCGGCCGTTCAGGATGGTAGTGCCGGACCTTTTGCTCTCCCCCAAGAGGGTCAGCTGTGCCCTCTCTCCCCGTCCCGCTGCCAGGCAGGCTCCGAGAACCCTGCAGGCTCAGAAGGGACAACCTTCTTTAGCTCCCTAGGACCACACGTGGTCGTAAACCGTGGTTGGTTGGGCCGCAGCTCCAGTTCGCCTCACCTCCCCCTTCAACCCGGCATGGGGCTCACCTGTCCACCTGCCGCTCCCTCAGGCTTATTGCAAATGCACACATTCATTCATGGTTCTTATCCTTTCCCACGTGTTTGAAGGAAGTTCTGAATGTGTGAGGCTGCTTATTGACGTTGGGGCCAACCTGGAAGCACATGACTGCCATTTTGGGACCCCTCTTCATGTTGCCTGTGCCCGGGAGCATCTGGACTGCGTCAAAGTGCTGCTTAATGCAGGTAGGTTGGCCTTTCTACCTGCGCTGCTCAGGGTTGGTGTTGGTGTTTATACCTGTGTGGCTCAATGCAGGTGTTTTGTTTACCTGCACGGTGCACTGGCTGGTGAAGCTGGCTGTCCCACTCATCAGCTGAGACCTTGGGCCTCAGTTTCTATATCTATAAAACTGGAGAAAATAAGCCCCATTTTGCAGGATTGTTGGAAGGACTTGTGATCACATTTCCGCAGGACCTGATGCTCGATGAATGCTAGTCATTATTTTTGGTAGCCATGGGGACCATCCACAGTACCTGCCTGATGAGTTTGCATCTAAAGCAGAAAGAGGTGGGAGGGTCCATGGGAAAGGAGCTGGTAGCATGTTTGGAATCCAGGTCCTTGTCAGATGTTCTAAAAAGGCTCAGGATAGGGAGGGTCCCAAGGCAAAAAACAAAAAAACGAAATAAAACACAGCCCAGTCAAGTGAAGGTTGGATTCAGGACCCATCTACCACGGCAGTTTTAAAGAAATGTAGCCAAAGTGGGTGTTGGCAAGGAGTTTTCGTTATGAACCCAATGTAAATACTTTGTTGGAAAATTTTCGCTCAGACATTCTGGGTGCAATTTAGGATAAAAAAACAAAACCGGTCAGGAATAGAAAGATGACGAGCTCTCTCCGGACGACGGTCATTTGAGCTTCAGTTATACGTGCTTTTTCTATTTGGGAGTCTTGTTTGCTTTCATGAGCCACTTTTACATGTTTTTAGTGAAAAAGATTCATTTTGTGTCAGGTTAGCCATTGGGGTGGTTTTCTTTTTTACATAAGGATAAAACATCTAGATGAGAAGTAGTCCCAGGCCTTCCAGCCAATCACTCAGCTTTTCTGTCAGCCGAGGGTTATTAGGTGCCGTGACTGCTGAGCTTACGAAATGGCAGTATCACGGTCAACAGCTGTCCCCAGAGCACCTGCCGTCCATGTGCTCAGGACACCTGGTGCCCTTTTTTCTTTAGTTCCTTTAGTGGTGGCTGGAGGGGAAAGGCTCGAATCAGGAGCTCGAACCCCGACATCCCTTCTGTATTGATTAAGACTTTATGGAACCGATTACTCTTGTAAGTAACGGGGAACCGAGTGCAGGGGGCTGAGGGGACGTTTTGGTCCAGGTGACTGAAAAGGTCAGAAGGAGGCAGGTGTCAGGGTCACTTTGCTCTGAGGGTTGGCAGCATCCTCAAGCCGGCACCGTCTCTGCATCTTGCTGGTCTGTTGTCCATCCCACTCGCTTGGTCCTATGCCTCACGTCCGTAACAGGCTGAAGATGGCTGCATCAGGGTCGGGCTCAAATCCAAATACTTTTCTTCCCAAGGCTTTGGGTAGTTTTCTCATAAGAGTGAGAAACCGCTTTTCCAGCTGTCCCCACACACTTCCCCTTAAGTCCCAGGGGCCCAAGCTGGGTCCTGGGTCCGAACCTAATCCAGCCCCTTTGTCCAGGCTCGGCCACATTCTCATTGGCTCAGGCCCAGGTTATTTGAACCAATTCCTGGGGGTGGGGAGAGAGGGATTAACCAATCAGAGCCCATCCCTGGGGTTGGAGGCCAGGCCGCCCCCCCCAGCGCCCCCCCCCCCCCCCGCCCCATTGCAAGGTGTGGGCTCAGTTGGGTGGGTGGGTCCAAGTGGGGAGGCATACACCTGGGAGATGGAATGAGGGCTAGACTAGAGACCCCCGGGGAAGGCTCCCCCGTATAGGAGGGGCACCTCTGGACTTGCCTGCTGCTGTAGACGTGGACAGTCACCTCTGACAGCATCTTCTTCCTAGATTGCAGGGATTCTTCTCAAAGAAAACGTTTTCAGCTGTGGGAAACCTCACACATACAAAAAAGTAGAGAGAAGAGGGCAGCATATGGGCTCTTTTTTTTTTTTTCCCAAGGAAATGTAGAAATATTTTAATTTACATATCATATTACAATGAATCAATATGGAGTCAAAGTCTACAATTACACATTCATAAAAATTCCATACATCATCCTCAGAATAATCAGTTTCTATACAAGATTTACAGATGTCCAATTATGTAATTTTTCCTCAGTGTGCTACAGAGTTTAGAGGTTCTGCTCGAATATTCCCCAAATCAAGCGCAGAATCTGTCTCTTCATCAATTTCTCCAGTGACTGCAACACTGTCACCTCTTACGATGCATAACCCCAGCACCACTTGTTCTACTCCCTGTGAAGAGCTGAACACTCGTTCATGGCTTTCATCCAAAATCAAATGAATGATCTGGTCAAACCCTTTCAGTGTTCCCACAGTCATTCTTCTGTCAGAAGTTATAACTGCAACAGTTCGGTTGATGTAGTTTTCCAAGGCGGACGTCATGATGCTCGGCCCGGCCGCTCTGGGCACCACAGGAACACAGGCCTGGGCTCTTCTGAAAGTAGTGGTTCTTGGTCACAGAGCCCTTGGAAAATCCACTGGAAGCCTGGGACAGGTCTCTGGAAAACAGGTGCTCGCGGACCCCCCCCCCCCCCCAGCTGCAGGGTGGTGTGGCAGAGGAGGGGGCTGGGGCTAGTGCCGGTCCAGTTGTCCAGTTGTCCCGTGAAGTCACAGTGACTGTAACCGCCGCAGGAAGTGCTCAGAGGCTCCCGGGAGGGTGCTGTGCGTACCTTCTCAGCCGTGGCTACCGAGCTGCTGGGGCCTCCGTGTCCGCATCGGGCCGGCTTCTTGGCGCGTGTGGCTGGCCCTTGTCTGTGCATGCTTAAGGCTTTACCCTGAGTCTGCTTTGATCCTCTTGTGCTTTGAAATCAGACTCTGACCCCTTTTTCTCTGAAGCATGGGGCTGAGAAGTTTTAATGCCCGGGTGCCTTTAGTTGTTTTGCTGGCTTCCTCTGTCCCTCTCCCCTTCTCTTTCTCCCTCCCTCCCTCCTTCCCCCCTCCCTCCCTCTCCCCCCCAGTTCAAGGCACAGTATCATCATCGGTCCCCACAAAGCCCCCTTCTCCCCCCTTCCTTCTTTCTTCTGTCCCTGCCCCCCAGCCCCCTATTTTAATGTGTGTGTGTGTGTGCTTCCTCTGTATGTGTTTTGTAAGATACGCTGGGCGGGTCGAGGCATGTATTTGTAATTGACACTCAGTGCTGGGTTACAGACTTCGCCCTCTGCTGTTTTCTCGGGCCTGGCCTGTGTTTTCAAGTCCCCCCCCACCGCGCGTACTCTGTGTGCTCAGGTCTGCAGTTCCCCGAGCAGCAGCGTGTACCAGCGTCCCCTCCTGATCTCCAGTCTGTGTCACACCCAGTCCAAAGGAGCCAAGAGCCCAGTTAAAAACAGCCTGTCTTGACCTTGGGATACCACCTCATGGAAGGAGTCACCCTGCCGCGGCCTTGTATCCTGGGAGCCCTAGTGAACGGGATGGAAGGGCGGTGTGGTTTGAGCGCTAGCCTACCCCTGGTTTTCTCCTTGACCGCGTGTGCCCCCTTCTGTCTTGCAAAATAGAGACAATCTCTTTCCTTCCCACTTGGCAAGATTATTGCCACAATTAACGACCTGCGAGACAGGTCCTGCACTTTAGATTCTGTACACTTTACAGTTTATTTTTCGTTACCAGTTTGCGTCTCACATTCGCACTCCTGTTTGCTTTATCACTGCAACTATGAAATTCTTTATTCTTCTAGGCGGCTATTGGAAGAGCACCCCCGATGTGGGGGTTACATAGGGGGCGGTTCTTTTCTTTACCGTATTGCCTTTCAGTATTAGTTTTGCAATGCATATCTGCTGAATTAAATACTTAGGGGATGTAGCCTTCTTCCTGAGGGATTTTTTGGCCCTGACCTGACTTGGGAGTTTTGGCTGCCCTTGTGTTATCTTGTTGGGGTGACTGCTGATAGGCACACAGTTTTTAGGTTCTACTAGGGGATCAAAACTGTTTTAAGTCATGGGTGCCTGAGTGGCCCAGTTGGTTAAGCATCTGACTTCAGCTCAGGTCATGGGATGGAGCCCCCTGTTGGGCTCAGTGGGGAGCCCGCCTGTCCCGCTTCCCCTCCCCCAACTTGTGCGTGCTCGCGCGTTCTCTCTCTGCCTCAAATAAATAAATAAAATCTTTAAAAAAATGCTTTTAAGTCAGAAACCAGAATTTCCAAATACTCTTGAGCAGTGGGACAGGAAACCTAAGAGCCTTACACCCCTTATTTCCTCTAAATTTATCATTACATGGAGATATGTTGGTGATCTGATTTCTTTTAACCCCACTTTCCTGATATTTTATGACTGTGATTGGAATCTCTTTTGCGGGGGCCGGGCTGTTTGCTTGGCTTCTTTAAAATACTTTTCTCCCATCCCCTTTCTCTTATAACCTCCTTATCCTCTAGGAGCCGACTTCAAAGAAGTTGGTTAAAAAAAAAAGAAATCCTAAGGGTCCCGGAGATCTCCTTGCATAGAATTGGTGATGGCTGTACCCTATGAAAGATGTTTTACAAAAATCGTATTTTTATCAAAATCTTTATTTTTTAATGCATCTAAAAATACTGTAATTAGCTACTAGTTCACCTCTTTCTGAATATCTATTTTTTAAAAGATTGTATTTATTTACTTGAGAGAGAGAGAGAGAGAAAGAGAGCATGAGCAGGGGGAGAGGGAGAGGGAGAAGCAGACTCCCCGCTGAGCAGGGAGCCTGATGCGGGACTCGATCTCAGGACCCTGGGATCATGACCTGAGCCGCAGATGCTTAACCAACTGAGCCCCCTGGGTGACCCTACTATAACGTCTACTACTATCTTGAAAACAGGTGGGTGGCAGAGCTGAATTCACAAGTATGACACCTCATCTCTTACCTGAACCGCGGAGGGTGTTTGGGGAACATGACCTGCATTCCCTTTGCGCGTCTCTTTTGTGAAAGAATATTTACATTTAAGGACCTTCCTTCATACCTGCAGCACAGCGTACTAGAGCCTCCGGCCTGCGCCTGCTGTGTGTGCACACGAGCGGGAACAGTGTGCACGCGAGTGGGAACAGCAGGAGAGCTTCTTTAGCTTTAGCTGAGCTCTCAGAGCCTCAGGACCCATGGGGACAGCCTGTACGGGGTCTGAGAACTGCCTCGTGACTCACAGGGAAGTTTTCTGTTCCTTCTGTGGGGTTCTGTTTCCAGTTACATGACTTTCCTACAGCTCGGTCTGTAGCTCTCTTACCATCAGAAAAAAAGTAATTACTCCTTTCTTTGGGATCTTGAAAAAAGATTCTGAAAAGGCTGTAGCAGAATCTGTCTTGACTTTCTTTCCCGGCTGGGACATTGCTTTTGTGCGCTGTGCCGAACGAGAAAGTACCAGCCGACGTTTCTGTTGGCTCCGTGGCCTCTCCTTGGTGATGCTTGTTCTCCACCCCGGACCGGCAGGGGCCAATGTGAACGCAGCGAAGCTTCACGAGACCGCCCTGCATCATGCAGCCAAGGTGAAGAACGTTGACCTCATCGAGATGCTCGTTGAGTTTGGAGGCAACATCTACGCACGGGACAACCGGGGGAAGAAGCCATCCGACTACGCATGGAACAGCAGCGCGCCTGCCAAGTGCCTGGAGTTCTACGAAAGTAGGCCACCCTGTCCTTGTCGCTTGAATGTGCTTGGTTGGTTGGTTTAGCCTTGCGCAAGAGAGCCTGCAAGAAGCTCTGTTCTGACAGTCTGCCCGATCATGTCCGAGCAGGCCAACCATCCCGAGTCCCTGGGAGCCTCCCCCACCCTGCAGGAGACAAGGGACAAATATGATCGGAGGACAAGACTTCTTTGGGTACAGATTTTTAAATGAGTTTACCCAGCCTTGCAACCACAAGAGGCTTTCAGACACCTCTTGGTTGGGGAAAAAAGCCCCGATTTTTTCAAATGTTTGCCGGCCCCACCCAGCCAAAATCCATATGAACTTAGAGGCAGATACATCCATACGTCAAACGTTTCCTGGAGGGTATTTCTTTTCCTGCATCCAAATAATTTGGGGGGTGAAGTAATATGGGAAAATGAATTTCTCCAGGATTTCTTTTTTCTTTTCCTCCCAAAGAGTTTTTTTATTTCATAAATCTTCGTAAGTTGAGAATACTGTTTGGCTAATTTATATTTTTATCAAGCAGATATTTGCAGCATACGTGGGTTTTTAAAGAATTGAATCGTTGTAAAAGGCCGACTGCTCTGCAGGTGCCTCAGCGGCTGGGGGCCCCCAGGGACCTTCCATCGTTGGCCCTGGTTTGCTCGCCCTCCCGAGCCATGGCTGCAGGCCTCACCTTTCGTCCAAGGTCCTCACCCTCGGGACTGGGACATGGGCTTGCGTGCTGTGTCCGTCAGAGCTGTTCTGTGCTGTGTGTGCCTTCTCCCCGGGTCCCCCTGTGCCCCGCGGCTCGTGGCGGTGAGAGCAGGGCCTGGGGCCTGGGGCCCGGGGCCCGCCCGGCAACTGACCCTTGCCCTGTCCCTTACTTGTCTGGAAGTTTGACATACGAGCCCGCTAGCCACAGAGTAGTCCTTTGCTGATGAATCTGTGCACCAAGTTATAACATTATGGAAAAGGAAGAAAAAAAAAAAAGCTCCCCAGGACCCCACAGAATAAAAACCCAGTGAACGCCCCGTAGATTCCATTTCCTGGTCTTCCTTCCCGGGTCCCTGGCTGTCCTTCCTGGTAGCCTTCCAGAGAAGGCATGCAGGCCGTGTCCCAGCTCCAGGGAAAGGGGAGTGTTTCCGGCCCTGGTTATTTCCCAAGTTGGAGGATGTTATGCTCCTTCCTTCAGCTGACCGCATGTGATTCCTGTTCCCTTTTTTCAGAAACACCTCTGACCCTGTCGCAGCTCTGCAGGGTGAGTTTGAGGAGGGCCACTGGTGTCAGAGGACTAGAGAAAATCACCAAGTTGAACATCCCTCCCCGACTCATCGATTACCTTTCCTACAACTGAGCTGCAGGCCCGGGAGGCAGGCGGGGGCCTCCCTGGCTGCCAGCCTCGCTGAGTCCAGCAGCTGGGCCTCAAGGACCCCCGTTGTCGGCAGCCGCCCGACTGCTAGAGAAAGAACAACGTTCCCCGAGCTTCTGCTGGCTGTCCTGCTTTGTCTTCTCTGCGGACTCCTGGAGGGTATTTCCGAGGCCCTGGGAAGGCTCTGCCTCATCTTCTGCAGGCACTTCGCTCTCACTCTGCCCGGTCCCAGCCATCCAGCATCCTCCTCTCACTGACCTTCCTCAGGGGGACTCTCGGGAAGGACACAGGGGAAGGCCAGGCTGGGGCTGGGGGTGCAGGGCCCCGCTGCCCGGGAGACTGGGGCACCTGGCGCTGTCTCTGAGTCCTTCGGCACCAGGGTGGCCCTGGGTGTCCGAAGGGAGGAGCCTGTGCTGCAGAGATCGGGTCCTGACCATGTGGCCCTGGACATCTGCTTTGATGACATCCTGCTACTTGGACACTTTTTTCTGGAGCTGTGGTGGGCACTTTCCAAGGCCCATCTGTACCCAGGTAGACCCATTGCTCAGGGGACTTTGCACGAGTCTTGGTCGGGGAAGGCTCGGGCGACTTATTCCCCACACTAGCACAGTATTTCTTAGGAACTTTTCAGGCCTCAGCTCTTAAACAGCTTATGTTGGGGATAGATAAAATCTTTTAGAGCATACATAGGCTGCCGCACTTAGGTTTTGTTAACGAGTCTGCAAAACCACAGATAACGTGAAGGTGCGTCCGTGCGTATTCCAGGAGGAGTTGTTTCCAACGTGAAGGACCCTTAGGACACCCTTTAGGGATGATTGCTCATCTGTTTCTGCAGTTCCCAAACGGATTCTCTTCCTGCCCTAAAGTTTGCTCACTCTCGAGGCTCTGAAATTGGTAGGAGGGAGGTTGCCAGCGCCCGGCATTACCAACCACTGACTTGCGCATCGTGCAGACACTTACGGAACGTCTATGATGTTCTAGGAATTGTCTGAGTGCTTTGAGCTGTGTAGGAATCAGACTCATTACCCAAGGCAGAGAAAGAAAACACTATGGTCTGTTCCCGTAGTAATAGAAACGACGAATTCTACACTCTCGGCCATGAGGTGAACTCTTCAGTAGTATATTCAGACTGTATTTGTGTCAGATTCTCTCTCCTAATTTAAAAACACAAAAACCAGGCAGTTAAACCAGAGGACGTTTGCATAATTAGTTCAGGTGTATTTGGTTTCTGAGGACACGGGAAGGCACCACTGGTGAACGCTGCTGGGAGTCGTGCCCGAAGCCGCCGAACGTCCCCAGATGCTCCCAAGGGGGGAAGTGTGTGGGACGGAAGGAGCCTGGATGGGGGAAGCCAGCTGTGCTGCACGCCTGGGGTGTCTCTTCTCCTCGGAGTTACTTGGTGGGGCCCCAGATCTGCAGAGAGTTTCACGGTAGCTGCCAATGGGCATTTTCTGTCTCGAAAATGACATTGAGGCCATTGTCACGACGGTGCCTCGTGAAGCGCTGAGAATGGGTCGCTCCCATCCAGGTTCCATGTGAGATCTGAGTTCAGGGTAAATGGGTGCTTTTGCATGTACTAACAACAACAACAAAATCACAGGGTTCTGCCCATCCATCCGTGTAACAGAAACTGGCCTCTAGCCATGAACGCTGATACACTTCCTCCCATGGAGCACTGAGTGCAGAATCAGTCCCCACACTCACTGCTCAATAAAAATCGCTTCACAGAGTCCACCTGACGTGCACACAGCCCTTTTGTTGGGAGCAGACACGCTGATGGGCCACTGTCATCTTCCAGTGACGGAGCCCTGCCCGTCTCCCAGATGCCCGTCTTCCCACCTGTCTCCTAGTGCAGGTTTCAGTGACTAAGATTTTAGGGTCTCCTGTAGCTTCTCTCCCCTCGCCTTATTGAGATGTAATCGACATGGATCCCACCTGTACCCTGAGTAGGGGGGTGACTGTAGATGCATTGCTCCGCTCTTCTGAGCCCGGATCTTCCCAGCCGCAGTGGAGGGAGTAAAGGTCAGACTCCGATCATTAAAAGGACATTGATGGTCAAGTCCTGAATCTTACAAATGAGAACATGAGGCCCCGATAGCCTGTGTTTTGGTCAGGCTGAAGTTAGCTGATTAAAAGATGCACCTGGGTGGCTCAGTTGGTTGGGCGACTGCCTTCGGCTCAGGTCATGATCCTGGAGTCCCGGGATCGAGTCCCGCATCGGGCTCCCTGCTCGGCGGGGAGTCTGCTTCTCCCTCTGACCCTCTTCCCTCCCGTGCTTTCTATCTCTCATTCTCTCTCTCTCTCTCTCAAATAAATAAATAAAATCTTAAAAAAAATCTTTGAAAGATGCCTTGAAAAGTGTAAAGTGCTCCCCGCACATAAAAGTTAGGTGGGTATGTGTATACTGAGGCTTTATTAATGTTTGTAGAGTTTATAGCTGTGTAAATGATTCTCTTCTGACTTTGGGACAGTCCCACTTATTTCAAGAGAAACAGATCAGAAGACCTGTCCATTGGCATTTTAAAGCTCGACGTGCATCTGACAGATCAGGTGACATTTGCAGCACAGATAACAAATGACAAACAAAATATAGAAAGATCCCCTAGAAATCATGAAGAAAAAGATTAGGGCGCCTGGGTGGCTCAGATGGTTAAGCATCTGCCTTCTGCTCAGGTCATGATCTCTGGGTCCTGGGATCAAGTCCCACATCGTCTCCCTGCTCAGCGCGGAGTAGTCTGCTTCTCCCTCTGCCCCTCCCCCCACTTGTTCTCTCAATCTCTCAAATAATAAATAAAATCTTAGAAAGAAAAAGATTAATAACCCAAGAGAAGAAAGAAAACAGGCAAGCCTCTGGACAAGAAACTTACAAAAGAGAAACCTCAAACGTCCCCTGATGGGAAACGGTGGTTAGAAGTGATCAGGGAAATGCAAATTAGTGAATATTTAATTCAACAAAAAGATATCAGTATATAGTGTCATTTTGATGAAAATTGAAAGGTCTGACAGTTTGTACTGATGGGCCTTACGGGCATATGGGGCTCAGGCTGCTAGTGGGGTACAGAGTGATACGTGTATTTTGGAAGGCGGTAGATGATGTCTAGGACCACTAGAAGTAGATACCACACGTACCCGGAATTTCTCCTTTTAAAAACTTCAAGAAACTCAGGCATATCACAAGGAGACAGCGTGAGGACGTTTAGAGCAGTAGTGTTGGTAACAGCAAAAGGCTCTGTTAGTAGGGGCATGTTGCAGAGTACATTCATAGACTGCCTATCCTCTATTACGGTTAAGGTGGATTCGAATTCTATGCTTTCACACTAATAGATCTAAAACTTCTAACAGCAGATGGAAAAAAAGTTGCCAGCCTACATTTATGTGCGATATGACTCCATTTGTATAGACTGAAATACAAAACAACCTAAGTATCTGAGGATGCCCGTGCGTGTAGGAAATGCACGGAATCACGGAACCACATGCTGTGCCGTGGTCACCTCCGGGTGAGGGAGGGCTGTGTGACTTGGGAGAGACACAGGGAACTTCAACTCTGTGCTGTTTCATTTCTTGAAACAAAGTTATGAAGAAAATACAGAATACTCCTATTTGCTCACGTTGGGTGGCAATTAGACACGGGTCTATGCTCTCTGCCTTGCTTGTTTTCACAGTAACAATTTAAGGCACAGAGGAGAAACAAAAGGCAGAAATATCTTTTAAAAAAGAGGAAGAGATCTGTGGAGCTATTATAAAGTGATTCTGTTTAAGAATACCTTCCAGCCTCCCATTGGCTATGAGGTCCTGTTTCCGTTATGAGACCTTGTATTCTGCAACAGGACCTGACACTTTTTTCCACCATCCTTATTTTTGGGCTGAGGAAACAGGTTGCAGCTACTTTCTTAGGTAAACTAGATTTCGAAAGCCCTGAGTGTGCCGTGTGGCCTCCAAGACCGAAGGGCAGTGTTGGCTAAACCCCCCTCCACTGGTTAGCCTCGCCTGCTCTGGGATGGCTCACTCCCTAGGTGATTGTGAACCTTCTAGAAGTGGCTCTGGGCAAAGTTCCCAGCTTCAAATCCTACCCTTGGAGACATGGGTCCCTGAGGAACTGGTTCAGTAGGAAGACCCATTGTCCGGCTCCAGGGTGCTGCCTGCCCCCCACAGGTCAGAGGGGTGGCACAGGGAAAGAAGGGGTCTCCTGGCACCCTTCACTCTCCTGCCCCTCTCCAGGTCCCTTCCCATCACCAGGGAAGGAAGTAGAGTCTTCTCCTTCCCTCCTTCCCTTACTGACACTCGCATGCCCAGAGATGCTGCACGTGGTACCCCATCTGTACTAATGGATGAATCCGCGCAAAGCTTTGAAGTTGTTTGGGACCAAAAGAATGCCTTGGCACATCCATCCCCTCCCCGGGGTTGCTCTGTTAGAGCTGGTCATGCTTTCTTTCCAGGGGGCAAGCACCCTGACTTGTAAGCGGTTGAATTCTTTTATTCAAGAAGACCAGCCTAAAACTGGCTCTGCACACAAAGCTCAGCCGCAGGCTCATGTTGTGAGCCGCCGTGCTGTCTTACAGTCGTCAGGAAGGATCACAAGGGTGCGAGCAGGCTGGCTGTGTGCCTGCCGTCTGGGTAGCTCCAGCATGTACGGTTCTCCCTGTAACGGCCTGCAAAGTACTTCCAGACCCTGGAGTCTTTGCATTTTCTCTTTTCTCAGTGTTGGTACCACATGGCATTGACAGCTGAGCCCCAGTTCTGTTGGCGTGAAAGTCTTGTGATCTCTGGCAGTCTGAATGAAAGTATGTCTTAAGTTGGTCCAATCTAAACAAGGTGCCTCCTAAAAGCCCAGTGTCTCAAAACCACAAATAAAGGGAGAGAAGATTCATGATCGGTCTCCCCCCCGCCACTTACTTCTTTATATAAATTTTTTCTTTCCAGCAGCTGGTCTCCAGGTGTGTGGTTCTTGTGAACCAGACTTCAGAGCGGAGAAGTTGCAACCGAACTCTGAGCCAGGAGGTACAGTTAGTTTAGCTCTCTGCTTTCTGCGTGATCAATAAAGAAAATTGCCATTGCTCTTCTTGTTAATCCAACTCCTGAGACACATTCTGCTGTGTTAAAGACAGAGCGCTAGATGGGACAGGATGCAGGAACTTTTACTCAAGCCTTTGTTCGCTTTCCCTGTCCGTCCCTCTAGCCTGCCCACACCCCCCATCGATCTGTCCAGCTCTCCATGCATACATTCATCCTTTATTCCCTTTCTTTTTATTTATTTATTTTAAAAGTTATTCTATTTTAGATTCTCTGCTGGTCCCTAAGGATTTAAAAAAAGATCCATGAAAGCAAACCTCGGCCCTGAAGGATTTCGAAGACCACTCCTCAGGGAGCAGACACGGGAGCAAGTGCTGAGTCTAGAAGTGTAGCAGTCAGGGCATGAGCCCCGAACAGGACAGAAGAGCTAACTCTGCTCTTGGCAAAGGGGAGAAGAGAGATGCCCCCAGACTCGGTTCTCAGGTCTTGGGTTAATAAATGCAGTTGCATTCATTTTTACATTCCTGGTGCTGTGTAGTTAACAAAGATTTATTTTTTTTTAAGGATTTTCTTTATTTGAGAAAGAGAGCACGAGTGGGGATGGGACAGAGGCAGAGGGAGAAGCAGGGTCCCCGCTGAGCAGGGAGCCAGATGTGGGACTCGATCCCAGGACCCTGAGATCATGACCTGAGCTGAAGGCAGACGCTTCACTGACAGAGCCACCCAGGCGCCCCTACAAAGCTTTATAAAATGTCCATAACTGGCACTATTTTTCTGGAGAGATGGATTCATTTGTTTTGTGCCTTTTCTCCCAAGCACAGAAACCAGAGAATGAAGTTCAATCCTGTGGAATTTTACATGAGTAGAGAGTTTACGGTAATCCCTTCTTTAAAAAGTAAAAAAATCCCTTCTTGTGTTTATGGTTCCCAAGACATGGATGAGACTTTCCTAGAAGGCCAGACTGGCACCCAGGGAGCAGGGGGCTTTGCCGATGAGCCCGTGGGAATCTACACTTTGCAGAACACGTGTGGGTCATTGAAAAAAGTTGAAATAAACTGAGGCATAAAAGAGAAATCCATCACAAGCTATTTTCAAAGTGTCTAATTGTTAGTTGTTTTCCCTTTTTCGGTGGGGGTCAGAGGGGTCCCTTGCTTCTTTTCAAATAACAGTATAAAATTGTATTCAAGACACATAGCAAATATATGCTTTAGTCCCATCTACTAGGCAACTGGAAATGGGATAAGAAAGGTAGCAACGGGGGAGGATGAAGGGAATGAAGCACGGAGGAAGAGGGAGGAAGAGAGAGCTCCAGCGAGCACGTGGGTGGGATTGCCAAGTTTGTCAGCTGCCCTTCATGGCGTCATCTGAGGGGATGCCAGCCGGAGCTCTGTAGGGATGGGGGCTTCCACTCAGAGCAGGTTGCAGTCGGGTGCAGCTTTGGATGAATACGGCACTGACCAGAGCAATCCTATCTGAACATCTGGATGACATCATGACATCAAACCCAATGCCCACATCTGCCTCTCCCCGCCCCGGCTCTTCCACCAACTGGCGGCTCCCAGGACCTGGGGGCTGCACCTGAGACTCCCCGGACGCTCTGACCTAATCCGTGGGTGGATTCTGTGTGGCCCTGCGATAGGGCAGCATAGTGCCGAAGACTCAATAAAGCCAAATGCCATCTCTAATAACAAGGAAACTGTGGCCCAAGGCGGGAGGCTTTGGTTCTTACTTTGATCACAAAGATCGCAAGTTCCCAAGCCAGCAGTATTCCTTTGCATTCTAGAAACATTTCACTGGTCTGATTGCTTACGATGGTCAGGGCATTCTGTGGGGCTCTGCCTGGGTCACAGAGGAATAAAACCCAGAATCAGGCAGCCGGCTAACCTCAAACACAGGGCTCTGCTCGGGGCTGCCAGGAAGAATCTCAGGAATGAGCAGCCACGTCCCATTCGGAAGTACAATGGAGTCCAAAGGGTGGATGGTCAAGAAGCGTGACTGCGTCTACTCAAGACTGAACACAAGAAAATATGATTTCAGAGCAAGGCTTTGATTTATACTGAATGCGAGAAAAAGCAGGAAGAGGTGGAGGAGGTGGGAGGAAGTCACTCTGGGGACTTGGAAGGGCTTTAGAAGTTTGCCACATGGGTGGTTTTCCTTCTCCTCATCCCAAGTGTGCTTCCAGAACTACTGAGCATCACCAGAGAGACCAGTTTGAGCCGACAGTGGGGCGGGGGGGGGGGGAATAAGAGAGATTAAAAAAAATAATAAGTTTCTCAAGCTATCAGGCAAAAGTCAGAGGAGAAGCAACAAGGTAGGGGTGGTTAGAGATGCTGGAAATCTGGCCCAGCAGCTGAGTCACGATCTGGAGTAATATTCCAGGGCAGGATGCTTCAGGGTGGATGGAGAGACAGGGGTTCTGCGAGGGGTGTGAGGGCCAAACTGACTGGACCAAGGGATGCCCAGGGAGCTGGCAGAACGTGATTTCCAGGTGCCTCTGTGAGGGGGTTTTCACAGGAGACGAGCGTTTGGTTTGTGGGACCGGGTAGAGCAGGTGGCCCTCTGTAGGGCAGGCTTGGTCCCCTCCGCTGAGGGCTCGCGTAGAACAGAGCTGGAGGAAGGGGGGATCTGCTCTCTCCGCCTGAGCTGGGACATCACCTTTCTCCGGCTCTCAGACCAGGACTTAACGCACAGGATCCCTCGCTTCTCAGGCTCCATAATCATGGGTGCCAACTCTTACAATAAACCCTTCTATTGATATTTATCTCTCTCTATCCTGTTCGTTCTATATTCCTGGAGAACCCTGGCTACCACAACTAGCGTGTATTCTGCAAAGCTCACTGTCATAATTCAACATGGTGATACCTGTTGAACATGAACCTAGGACCCATCATTTGCTATGCAACAACGTGGCTTAAAATTGGGTATTTATTAAAATACATGGTATACTCTATTACCTACTAAGCATTGTTTTTTTGTCAGGTGGTAATGCAGGAAAGCAGCTACGTTGGGAAGGGCTTAGGGTCAGAGGGAGCTGAAATATCAAATCCCACACCCTGATTGATCAGGGAGGCGGTGAAGGGGGTCATGCAACCTTCCGAAATCTTCTAGTCTGGTGGCTCTTGAACTCTCAGCGTGGATCAGTCACCTGGAGGGCTTGTTTTGTTTTTTAAGATTTTATTTACTTATTTGTCAGAGACAGAGAGCGAGAGCACAAGCAGGGGGAGCTGCAGGCCGAGGGGGAGGGAGAAGCAGGCTCCCCGCCGAGCAAGGAGCCCCACACAGGACTGGATCCCAGGACCCCTGAAGGGCTTGTGAAAACAAACTGCTGAGCCCCACTTCCAGAGACACTGATTTAGTGGCCCTGGGGTGGGGCCTGAGGAGGCACATTTCTAGTAAGTTCGGGCCTGCTGCCGCTGGTGGGGGAACAGGGAGATGCCCCACTTTCAGACAACTGTCCTCGTCGGCTGCAGTCTGCTCTTCACTAGACTCGTTCACTTTCATCTCTTGCCTCAGTGCAACATGTCCTGGGAGCCGAGTGCTTCAGTGAGACTTGAGGATCCCCCTCTGGGCCTCCTGGAGGAATCCCTCGGGACCAGGTCTCCGAGGCCGAGGACCCAGCAACGTGCTTTGCGGCCTGGGCTACAAGGAACACAACGCTGCCTTCCTCCGCGTCCGTGTGTTTGCACATCCAGCTGCAGCCGGGCGGCTGTATGCACGCGGCGCCACAGACGACGCATTACCTCAGGCCAGGTGCACACCATTCTCCTCGGGATGTTCTGGCCGCTGAAGGGAATGATGGATGAGCGGAAGAAGTCCCACCACTTCAGAGAAATCTCTGTCTCGCCCATGAACACATGGCCATGAACACATGCCGCCGTCAAGGGGGGTTCCTTCCGTGTCTCTTCTATTTCCAAGCAAATCAAAGCCCTTTGTAAAGTTTGGCCCTTGGGCAGTTTCATGAGGTAAAGGAGAGGAGTTGCCACCATCTTTCTGTACCGAAACACTGGGAATAAAGACATAGCCCAGGGGCCGGGGGAGGGGGGGGAGTCCCTGTCCACCAGAAGGTCACCTTGAGGCAAGGCCTCCCCGTGTGATTCCTGCACACATTGGGAAGCGGCCACTTGACTGTATCCTATTTCCTCAGGAGGCCCTTTTGCCCAAACTGGGACATCTGGTCCCCGGGGGACATCAGAATGCTCACCTGGAGATGCTCCACGAAGGAGGGAACTCTGAACTTTGAACATTGGATAAAATGCAAGTAGGGAGAGAGAGCGTGAGAGTGCGCGTGCTTTACAAGCCCAGGGCATCAGACAGGCGGACAAAAGTGGGGGACAGGAAAGCTCAGGCTTTTAGGGTCATTTAGGATGTATTCGCCTGCAAGGGGACCCCCAGAATCAAAGAGGAATGTGTTCTCTCAGAGAACAGGGAGTTAGCGGGGGGCGGGGGGCAGGCTCCAGGATGAGTCATCAAGCCCCCTGCCCAGCCCAGCCCATCTTGTCCTCGGGGCAGAGGACTGCTACGACATCCCCATCCCCGCGTGACAATGTCCAGAGGAAGAAGAGATACCATCTCTTTTCTCTTGTTCTCTTGCGGGGGGTGGGGGGCATTCCTCAAATCTCCACAGACAACATCCCTTCTCTTTCTACAGCCCCACACCCCGCTCCCTGCCCCACTCAGCAGACACAGGGTGGATTTGAACTCGTGCCCAATCCTGAACCAGTCGCTGACAGGGAGTCACCTGAGACTCGCTTACACTAATCACTGGGAGGGAGTAGGGGTCGGGGGTCCACAGGGACTGCAGCAGAGGGAGTGCCGGGGCGCAGAGGAAAAGACCACCTGCTGTGGCTTCCGATATCCCATCAGCAAACAAGATGGAAAAGGCCAGGCTGTTAATTCCCCAGGGAAGGCGGCCAGGGGGCGTTTATTCTGGAGACAGGGAGTGATAAGAACAGAAACGTGCGCATGCATGTTCCGCAAGATGGGCAACAAGCCGGGGCAGGAGGCACGGGATCTGTGAGAGGTTCTCTCAGGAGCAGGAAGAAAGTGAGGAGCGTGGTGCCTGCCAATTCGGAGTTCCATCCGCTGGATGAGGGACTAACTGGATTAAGCCTGGGCGTGGCTGGTCTTGTGAATCCAAGCCTGAGTTCCTGGGAACATGGGGATGCCATATTAAATAAAATAACATAAAATAACATAAAGGGATCAAGAGGTGGGGCTGGTTGACCAGCGGTGCCCTCCCCCCACCCCCAACCTCGCTCAGGTTAGGACCCTGGTTCCTGCTCTGCAGACAGGTGTCAGTCACCTGACCGGGGCGCTCTAAGGACGTGCATCTGACCTTGCTGCTCAGAGTGAGAAGGCCGAGGCGGGAAAACAGCTAAGTTGAAAATGGAAAGATGACTGACAGACCTCAGAACTGGAGGAAATGACGGCTGTAGAGTCTTGATCCTGCCCCTGTGCTAACTGTTTAGCTCTCTACTCAGACTGCAACGTTAACGGAGCCGAGATTCCCGGAGTAAAGAAT